AACTCGGAGAATTTCGAGCCGGAGATAGATATAGAGGAAGAAAATAGCGGGGCGTCCTACCACCGGGGGCTTAAAGCTTTTCCTCAGTCACAAATTTCGGAAAGTAGGGAGGAAAGCCAGGTATTTTACTACAAAGGAGAAGATTATTTACCGACCCATCCGAGCCGTAATATGATAATTACCGAAATTGATGACTATGGATCAATGGTAACTATTAAACGGGCTTTAGTCAAAAGAGAAGGTATACCTTTTATGCCAATTGACATTGAAGAATATAATGAATATATAAATAATATCCCACATTACGTTTTACGTATATATGGATATCTTGTCGATGGTCAAAAAGCTGTAGTAACAATTTTCGGCATAAAAGTTTTCTTCGATATTCGCGTTCCCAATAATGAGAAAACAAAGTTATTTGAGTCTAAGATAAGGGATATTCTCGCTAAAGGAAAAAATGATGACAGGGAAACTGTAGATATGAGTCAAGTCCGAATAGAATATGTGAAGGCCTTTCCGATTAAGGGTTATCAACCAGAAAAAAAGACATATCTACGTATTGTTACAACTACTTCTAAACGAAGAAAAATCGCTCTTGATATTATCTTAAAACATAATTCAGAAATTGGAGAAGCAAAGCGGGGGTGTACGCTGGAAACCGCCTCAGACGATACAACTGCATATTATCGAAAAGTTGCTCGAGAATATAGGATACCACTTTCTGGCTGGGGTTTATTAACCAATTATGAACACAATAATGGTGGGATGCCTTATAGTGCCCACTCCCCACTTTGTGAACATGCCATTGTTTATATGAAAATACAAAAGTTATCATTGCAGGTTTGATATCACGTGATACGCTCTATCAAATAAATTTTGAAAAATTGCCAATTTCATTGATACGCGTTTACCATGGAATATTTTCAAAAAACTTCACCTGAAAAGTTTCGGTTTATAGACTTTTACAAGTACCGCCAGAGGCAAGATGATTTTACCCGATCTTTTCGAGAAGAGTCTGGCAATCTCTGGCGTTGTTTGATGTCACTGGTGAAAGATGGAACACCTCAGGTCAAAGAGAACGCCGTCCGTTTGCAAAACTCTTTTGAGGCAAGTGTTTATTTTCTCCTCCTTTGATGCACGAGTTGTAGACAGATGTGAGGCTTGCTACTGAAGTCCCGAGAAGGGGTAACATACTTCCATGACTACGGCGGGGGGTTCAACCCGCTTTATGGTGGTTTCCCGTCATGTTTCACAGTTATTGTGGAAGTAGGAGTCTCATTTGCAGTCCTGAGAAGGGGTACATACTCGCACAACTACGGCAGGGGGTTCAACCTGCTTTATGGTGGTTTCCCGTTGTGATCTGTCTACACTATTTTGCGATTGTAATGGTTTCCTTTATAACATATATCAATATTAATTTACTCCATAACTGCATCAGAGACATCGAACGAAACTTGAGGACGTTCGCATATTTTGGCAACAAATTGAGAATGAAACGTCGATTGATGATGCTGAGGTTTGATTTGTTGCTTACCAAATATTTCATTTATAACCTTCCTTTTACTGAAATTGTTTAATTTATAGGCGGAAGTAGCTTGCAAGTTCATACGCAGATCATTGATGTGGCGCTTACCAATGTCGAGGAGAAGATGGTACAGTCCCCGGCGAAAAGAATGGCGGTGACAATTGTTTTTAAAGTTTTTATAAAAATTCGATACAAAAATCGGTT